ACCAACCAATCCCTAAATAAACCTTGACAAAATATAGGCGGGAGACCATAATGAGCTCCTAATATAGTAAACAACGCGTTGACAAGCCATATCATCATCCATAGTGGAATCATCAGTTATTAAGAATAGATATTAAAATTTCTAAGGGTTCCTAAGAATAACGCAAAAGTGTGAAACAGCAAGTTTCTTCATTTGAGACAATTTATCAGGTAGGGAACGCACCCTCGGACACTAGTGACCGCTATTTTGGTACAAACGTAACAGATAATAATTAAAAGAAATTAAACGAAATAAGACAAACCACGAAACAACATTTGTCTGTTTTGCTTTTTCATTTCTGTTGAACGTAGGACGTTGAACTACAACAGCAAGCCTTTAATTCATGAAAATAAGTACCTCGGGACTGAAAAATAATTTCCGCCGACGCCTACATTTAATCGATAAAAATAGGAAGAAGGTTTGAACCGGTTTTAGTCATTTTCTTCTGTGTGGACTGATTTGATCGTAGTTACGAAACCAAATATTTTGGGTGCGATTTCGAAAAGACTTTTTATGGTAGGCGAAAATTTATACAAAACCTTAAAGGAGAAATTTCTACGGGTCTGTAAAAAATCCTAAAAACTTCAAACAGGAGCTAAAATCTCTGACTTGACTTTTCGACAACAAGCTTTTCCTAGTGAAAATTGATTCGACCCCTCCCCTCTCCTAAACAACAATTGAAAATGAATGCAAATTTCTGCACATCAATTTTCTGTTTCCTATGAAATGTTGAGCAAACTTATAAATATTAATTCCAGTTTAATTGAAATAGGCTTAATTGCTATTACTACTACACGCGTTCTCAAGAGAAAATTATGACCATTATTTTCTCTTGGTGTTCTTGAGTGTCTCGGTGGCTTATAAACCGATAATAAACCATAATGATTTTATTTTTACATTCAACTCACATAGAGCAATAAAATTTTGATATCAGCAAAGTCGTGACTGAAAAACAAGGAATCTTTGAGTTGCAGATAAGTGTCTTTTCCTTTCAGCTTTTACAGCAGTCTCTGCGTTAATTCCTTTCTTCATTAAACACGAAAATATGGTGACAACAAAACTTCGATTTTTTGTTAACCGAACAGACGAATTATTATGAGGTTCCGACATCTGGGTCTTGTTGGCCTATTTTGACGGGCGCAAGTCGGATGATGCCGCATCCCAAACGATCGCCCGCGTTACCGGTCTTCAAACTCTCAACCTGAAGTGGCCCAGTCCCTTGACCGAAGTCATCTATCTTTTCATGTATCTGAGAAAGAAACAAAAGAAATATCCCAAAGAAATGAATACTCAGTTCCAGTCACTAAATGTTCTGAGCGGTCAGAACATTGATTAAAGAAGAAGATCTGATAATGGCAGTAATAAATGACGTTGGATGAAGAATTAACTTATTAAATTATTATTAAAAGAAGATTTAAAATTAAAGAAATCGTTAATAATAATTACATCATTATTAAATGAGGATTTAATAATGATGATGATGATCACGTTGACTGATCACAATATCGATGTTGATGAACGGACTACAGACGTGAGCTGAATGCATCTCCTCCTCGGAAATTACATTTGATATATTTGCTAAATTTAGCTTACCACAAACGCTCTTCCAACAACTGAGAAGGGTCCGAACAGAGGGACGCGAGGATCAACGAGTACTGCATTAATGACTCCTTCTTTATCAGCAACCACGTTTCCTAAGTCCCCCAAGTGACTGAGAACAGAAAGCAGTTTTCTACTTTACACTCCGAATAAAACGAAACGTAACAACAGTTGTTAATCACAGTGTAAAAAAAACAAAAAAAGAACAGTAATTTAAAGATATCGTCATAACTGCATTACCGTATTTTATCTTGAGGTGCACCATGTGTCATATGTAACGGGTTGTAGTGACTTCCGGTGCTCTGGCACCCTGAAAATAACGTCATGTGACCAGTGTTAAAATCAGTTTTATAATAATCAGTGCTCCGTAGCGTATAATTAACAGAGCACAGGGCTCACACTTGATGGTCTTTATTTTTGTGTGGGAACTGAATCGAAAATGAGGTCCATAAAAACGACAGAAATGAACAAAACCACCATCCAGCTATTTTGATCGAACAAGCTTACTTAAATGAATCGAAAAGACTAGCTTAAGTTTTCTTTGAGTTCTTTTTCCTCAAGATGGGACAAGTAGAGGAGCGCTTCTTCTCTTAAGCTTGCGCAAGACTCGCCTTTCACGCTCACCTCGCGTTCCCTTCGGGTTTGCCTCGCGTTCAACTTGCGCTTACCTCGCACTTACCTCGCCCGACTGAAAACGTACAAACGGAGGCCCATTCTGCGGGCTATCATGCAATACGTGCTGCATTAGTTCATTGCCACAAGACCAGGCAAACTTACCGTCTGACAAAGTATCTCCGTATTCATGGATGTGAAATCCGTGTACGGTGTTGGGAGGAAGACCTTTTATGTGAATGTGCATCGTAGTAGGACCTAATCCTAATGGCTGCACCAAAATAACAAAGAACAATTTGAGAACAACCAACAATTAACATGTAAAATTCCATTTTTGTGAGACTTTTCTTTCATACAACAAGACATTCCACGTTGTAGGATATTCCAAAAGCGTGAAATATCGGGTCAAACTCGGCAGACTTCTTGGGCTAAAGGTCGTTCGTATTCTGTTGTTACACTCACTCACTCACTCACTCACTCGCTCACTCACTCACTCACTCACTCACTCACTCGCTCGCTCACTCACTCACTCACTCGCTCGCTCACTCACTCACTCACTCACTCGCTCGCTCGCTCACTCACTCACTCACTCAACAGGACAACATTATGACTTCGCCTCCACAGGCGACCGTTGCCACAAAAAGACAAATTTACGCTTGTGAATATATGAAAATCATATATATGAACTGCGGTTAATTAAAGGAACTATGAGAGATCGATCTTTGCAGAAATGAACTGTACAGGCCTTAGTTTCACTACTGTTCAAGTAGTGTTCATGTCTGCGAAGATCGATCTCACATAGAAAAAAAAATGTTTTCAATGGTGACGTCATCCATGCTTCTATCCCATAATAGAGCATAGGTAAGAACCAATCAAGATGCCTATGATTCAGCTTACTAAATTTCGTTCGAATCAGTGCCCCCTCCTGCAAAAGATTTCCGTTTAGGACCTCATCTGAGAATAAAAATCACTAAGTCTTAATTAGCGGGCAAAGCAACAAATTGAAAGTAAAAATTGAACGATGGGCCTTTCTAGAACAAAATTTTCTGAGATTGGTCAGCAATGTGTTTAATGTAAACCGCTGGTCAAGGTTATTTTGATTCCCGGTCGAAGGTGTCGGACACTCGGCACTAGTCCTCCTTACCGGTTGAGTCATCATCACTTTCCCTCTAACTGGCGTTTCAGTCCCGGGAGGGGGCGCGGAGTTAGAAGTAATATAACTGAAAGCTGTCAATAGCACTTTTTCTGAAAAGCAAAAAAGGAACTCAGACGAACTGGTAGTGATACAGTTTTAAAATCTTGCAAGAATGTTTACCGTGAACGAATGCTGCAGTTTCGTTTCATCAGCGTCAAAACTTGCTGGCTTATTTTTGCAGAAAGACACCTTACGTCATTTCACTTATGAGATTCTTTTCTTTCCGTGGCTCGTTCTTGTTATGTTAGATCATTATAAGAAAAACAGCGACAGCTACCTGCAACGCTTTTAACACCTTTGCTGTTTACTTCCGCGACAGCTGTTGTCAACAGCACAAATCCACAGGTAAAGAACAGCATCGTGCCGTCTTCCTGAAAACAAAGCAGGACCTAAGATGATTCAATTTACTCTAGAATATTTTTGCGAGTCAGTTTTAACTTTAAATCAAGAGAAAATAAGCGGACTCTCTTGTCCAAATTAAAAATCCATCGATTTGCGCGGTAATGGGAGTAAGCTATGAGTGCATATATTCATTATGGGATGCGCGCGTTAGAGAGGGCGACAAAAACAAATGTTTTTCGAGGTGTGCTGGAATTCCACGCGGGACTCATTCAAATTGTGTCCTTTTCCAAGATTTCGCACGCTACCTTCAACTTGTAACCTTGTTCTTGGCACTGCGTTTTTGGCTAAACCCGTCTAACACAATAAGTTATTGTGAGGTTTTTACAACTGATACATGTAAAGCGAATTAATAACGATCAGCAGTAGAATTGTAAATGGCAAAATTAATTAGTTTTTCTCTGAAGAATGGTTGATCATCTTAACTGAGGCATCAGCAGCTAAAAGTTTCTAATGGCTGATCATATATATTGTTGTAACATAGAGCTGCCCTATGAAAGACAAGAATGTAGAATCATCACAACTTGCGTGGTCTAAAAACAAGAACTGTGACTGCGAATTATTTACGTCTCTATTTGGAATTCAACGCTACTAACATATATCATGCTGAAATCTCCATCCGGCACCCTTTGACACATCCAGCCATTCGCGCAATTCATTAGAAAAATTTTAGTTAATCTTTTTTAATCGGCGTTTTCCTAGGTGTTTCCGTCCTTTCTGCTTAGTATAGGTAATCGCATGGGGCCGAGTAAAATTAAGGATTAATATCACGCGTGTTTTCGGAAGTTGCTGAAATTGCCCGAGTCGCGCAGCGACGAGGGCAATTTCTGCAACTTACCTGGTGTGTTTACTCATTAATATAATGATTTCGAGTCTTCATTAAGTTCAAAACCCATTGGTATATTGTGGTAGTTGTTAATTCAAGGCTGAATTAAGTTTTGATAAGAATGACAAGGGTAATCGATTATTGTGCAACATGTGCAGGGGTCTGTTGAACGAGAAACCATAAGAATGCAAATAATTTCGTTTAGCCATACACCGGAGCCTTAACCGTACACCGTGACTGGATGTTTTTTGTGTAAATAAACTGAAATACCGCAATGTGAAAATCATGCTCACCGACATTCGGTAACATCGCAACACCGCAAATCCCAATTTATTCCACACATTTAAGGAAGGCTAAAACTAGTTACAGTCTACAAATATAGAGACTAATTACTTTTACTTAACAATTGGTTCATGCTTTAGCGTGCACTATCGAGTTATGGAGCAAGCGTAAGAGTTGCCCGAGGCGATAGCTGAGGGCAACTCTAGCTTCTTGAGTGCTCTCGAAACTTCCCACGTGCTCCATAACTCGATTGTGCACAGCTGAAAGCATGAACCAATTGTTTTAGAACATAGCCGGTAGAATTGTGCATCAAATCCGACGCGAAAATTAGACAACAATATCAGTGAAGCGAATCGTGATGGCGTTGATGCCGAGTCTCCTTTTCCTTTGTTTTTCTCTTTTTCTGCCTCATTTAAGAACTCTTTTCGGACTAGTAGGTCGAGTTTCTGTTTGTATCCATTATTGTCGCGAAATATATTATTTTTCCCGCGCTAACAAACGGCCGCTCGCGCGAAAAAAAAATTTCTGGCGAAGCGATTTGCTGACGCTGTCAGCGTGCACTATCGGGATTTTGAGCACGCTTACAAATATTGAATTTGATTGCGCGGTTCTGCTAGCTATGTTCTAATAGTATTTAGAATCTTCCACGTTCTGTTTAAACAAAGTTTACCAAAGTTTAGCAAGCGGGGATTCAACTGAGCGACCAACTGAATCAAAGGGTAATTCAAATCAGTGTATGCTGGTATTTTGGACCAAACACCCCAAATCCAATTGAAAAAACGGACAAACTGCTTTAACTTCAACCCTAGAATTCTCTTGTTTGTTAAAGTCTTAACGTAACTTCAAGCACACCACAGGCTGAGCGGCTTTGATGAAGACTCACTGATCCGTACAGCGCCCTACAATTATGTTACTAATCGAAGCGTCAATGCGTGCAATTTACGATTTCTCGTTGAGAAGAACTTCAAAATGGTAACACGACTTTAGTTTTTAGCACCACTAAAAAGCTATGATGAAAGCACACAAGTCCTACCTTTGCCCTGAAAGGCAGAGCTGGAAGAACAAACTCTTGCTCCTGACAACTGCAGTAGGCGAGCGTGCGATACAAAAGGTGCTTTGTTTTATTCAGATTGTCGCCTAAAACAGGAGACTCGCGCTGTTGTTGTACTTATACAATCAATTGGAATTATTTTTTACTGCATCCTGCAGGTGCATATATTAGATCACGGGAACACAAGGCATAAATTATTCAATACATAGATCTTGTCAAGGGGATGAGCTTTAAATGTAATTTTTTTTATCTTGCACGTCGGATTCATAAAGTTAAGCCACTCATTATGTTAAAAATGGGAAGGCAAGCCATTCCTAATTCAATACATAGATTCAGCCAAGCCCAAAAACGGAGTTTCGAATTTTTTAAGCCCAAGATTATGTCAAATACAAGGCAAATCATTTATTATATGATACGCTCACATATACACGCATTTTTGATAGGTTCTTTCTCATGAGCTATTGGAGGCGAGACTGTTACTCGACAACACCATTAATAACATTTTACATTAATTTTTATCAAATAAATGTAATAAATTTCATATTGTCATAGTTTTATACAGTAATACATCACAGAAGACGTCAACACTTGTCAAGAACGTCGGTGACACCCTCGGTTGCACCTCATGTGCCACTTCTTTAATCGAACCACATTTTGACATTATCAGTGAACCATTGCTGTACAGACGCTCGGCAAGATAGTATCTATTTGTTAAGCAGATAACTTTCTCCCCAGTAGGAGTTACAAGATACAAATATTCTGCCAAAGGCATACAAAGAGCATTATTTTCTCGAACTCGAAAAGCCCCGTTCAGGATTTTTCTTTTTACACACAATTGAAGGCAAAGCCAGAGCCTTCAAATTACTTTAATTTTGGGAGCGTTTTCCATAAGATCTGTTTTCAATATGGAAAACTTATCCACATCGCTTTAGTGTGCACGGACTATGGCCTACTGGTAAAGAATAAAGTTATTTCAAAAATTAATCCGAAGTACTGTGAAACGGGTTTCAAACTTATATCCACTCATATCCCTTCCCTCACAAAACAAAACCGTTTCTAAAAAATGCAATCATTTTATTACAAATGACAGTAACAAATGATAGTACAAAAACTTATCCGGGTAAGATCTTATAAAACATCTTGAAAATTCGATTAACAAATTGTAATTTCATACTGACTTAGGGAAGTTGAACCAGCAACCTCTTTAATTATCACCAAAAGGTTAATCTCTGCGAAAATGACATTAAATTTACGCAACACTTATCTGTTGATTTAATATTTACATCATATGACAATCGCAATGTTTAAGTAAAGGATTCACAGCGAAACGGTGATAAACCTTGCGTTTTTCTCAATCTGAAATGAACCTTGGCAACATTTGAATGATACTTTGTTGACCCACCGCTGACAACCAGGGACCACGTCAAAATATTACGCATGACAGACGAAATTCTAACGCTGTCATTTTTTGAGCCCGCCCACGCTATTGCACGTGAACAGAACGTGGCTTACAAAGTTCGCGCAGACGCGACAAAATATCAAGCGCATGTGCACAAAAGCTCCCCGTCTCTAAAAGTTCACAAAACTCTTTATTCGCAAGCTTGTGATATTTTCTTCCTGATTGGACGTTGTGTGTAAACTTTGAGTGTTTTAGTACACTAAAATTTAAAGCACTCTATATCAATATTTCAATTCTAATATGTATTCTCTATTTAACCATTTAAAACTTAAATAATTTTTTTTTAAATTCCATCAGTAAGAATTAAAACCAAATAAATTCGAAAACTTTCCATTCATACATTGCATTATTTCCTTCTCAGTCTGCAAAGAAGCTACACAAACAAGTTTTTGAGCCGTTTCACCTCAAAGACACACAAAACCTCATTCAAAGAGAGGCTAATCTCGTCCCAGATCCTACTGTTTAACTGGAACTGGTCGTGGAAGGTCTGGGGAGGAGACTAGCGAGAGGTTAACTGTAAAAGATCAGTTTGGAGGAGGGATTAGCCCATAAGCAACCCCTTAATATTAGTGCTTTGGCTCTAGCGTTTCTTTGCTTAAGGGAAAGTATGAGGCCTGGGTCTAGTACTAACAATTAGTGCCAGATCCCCGGCAAACTTCTCCCCGACCGGTCTCAAGTCTTCCTGTAAGGCCTGCTTGAAAGCTTAAGAAAGATTAACAAAAATGGAACACGGGTGGCAATGAATGAATGGAAAATATTTTCACAGATTGCAAACGACAGCGTTAATCCCGAATTTTTTTATGACGCAAAAACAGTTTACTAACTTCTTCTAATCTGATATTTGATCAAACTTTGCCTTTGCACGAGCGACATCCATTCACATCAGATTTCTTAAGATTCTGCCATTTGTCTGGGTGACGTCTGAAGTAAAATACTGATCCACCAATCGCAATCACGATAACAAGACACGTGATCACTATCCCGGCTATGGCGGCTTTGTCAGGCACGGTTCGTGCCACGTAGATTCCACCTGGAAAAACCAAATTAAACAGGAGGTTTAACCAATTAACAAGTTTTGACAAGAACACTCGATAACCAAATAACAAGTTTGGTTATCGAGATTGTAAGAGAGTGGGACTGGAACTGATTTTGCCTTACTTTGGTCTGTGATTGGTCAACAAAACTTGCTCTATTCCCTCGACCAATCAAATGCGTTGCTGGCTGAGTTTAGCTGTAACTTGGTCCCTCACATTTTCCCGCATTTTTACATTGAGTTTTCATTAGCTTCTTTTGACATTTTTATTTTTTTTGTAATTGGGCGTCGCAGTTGAGCACCGGCCTCATAAAAACCAGTCAAAAAACGCTCTGATACGCAGCCTATGGTGTAATCGCCAAAACATTTTGCGTTTTTCTTCCTCATAGTCTATAATTTTGTAAAGCGCTACGGAGAACTAGTCGAGCTTAGCGCTATATAAATGCTTTATTATTATTATTATTATTATTATTATTAATATTATTATTATTATTATTATTATTATTATTATTATTATTATTATATGTACAGTGTCAGGGAGAGACGCCTTGCGAAGTCATCAAAGCGTTCTCACCGGAAACATTTGTCATAATTCACTCAATTCATCCTAGATGTTTTGCCGAATAATGAATGGAAGAATTATTAAAAATATTACCTTTATCTGTCTCTACTGTAGCAAAGTCGTCTGAATTGGTCGAGTCCACTTTGTACCAAGTGTTTAGATCCATATCGTCGGAGGAACGATAAAACTGTACTTTAGACGCCGCACTGGGATCAATCTTCATTCCTATTTTGAACTTTTTGTTCGTCTCTAATGAGTGTGGGTTCACTATTACAAAGGCGCTGGCATACCCACTACCAACACCCATTCGACCCCCTTTCTCCTTAATCATTTTGTCACCATCTTCTGCCGACATTAGTTCGACGCTGATTGGCTGTAGCTCAGAGAGAGCCTCTGCA